CTGAGCTTTTCAGAGCAGGAAGGGGAGGGAGAAGCCAGGCGAACTGGTCCAGCAGGTTGAGTTGCTAGCCTGAGTAACTGCGGCGCGGCGCGCTCCAGCTTGGGCAGCAGCTGTCAGGAGTGTGGTCTCTGACTCTGCGGAGACTGCCACAGGGACCATTGCCTTAGGATGGCAATAAATGGGGTACCTGAATGGGTTTGGGATTGCTTGTTTGCATACAGTCTCTCAGACACTTACAGCATCCTGGTTATCTCTCCCGGGTCATCAAAGAGCCATAAAGTTAAAAAAAGAAAAGAAAAGTTTACAATACACACAATTGAAAATGAATATTTTTTTTTTTTTTTTTTTTTTTTTTTTTTTTTTTTGGTTTTTCGAGACAGGGTTTCTCTGTGTAGCTTTGCGCCTTTCCTGGAACTCGCTTTGGAGACCAGGCTGGCCTCGAACTCACAGAGATCCGCCTGCCTCTGCCTCCCGAGTGCTGGGATTAAAGGCGTGCGCCACCACCGCCCGGCAAATTTTTTTTTTTTTTTTTTTGGTTTTTCGAGACAGGGTTTCTCTGTGTAGCTTTGCGCCTTTTCCTGGAACTCACTTGGTAGCCCAGGCTGGCCTCGAACTCACAGAGATCCGCCTGGCTCTGCCTCCCGAGTACTGGGATTAAAGGCGTGCGCCACCACCGCCCGGCGAAAATGAATATTTAAAAGACCTGTGAAACCTGCTTTTGGAATCAGCTTGTCAATATATGAATATATGTACACACACACACACACACACACACACACAGAGAGAGAGAGAGAGAGAGAGAGAGAGAGAGAGAGAGAGAGAGAGAGATCCAAAAACAACAAAACAACTGTGAAGTTTTTAATGGACTGAGGTGTTTTTATTAACATTGTATTATATGTATGTATCAATCTGGGGAGAATTAACATTTTGATAATACCATGTCTTTCAGTAGTGAAAATAAAACACTTTCACCTTTTATTTTTAGTTGAGGGATTCATTAAAATCTTTTTTAAAAAGTCTTTTTAAAACATATTTTATATGTGTGAGTGTTTTGCCTGAAGGGATGTATGTGCAGCACGTGGTTGCCTGGTTCCCTGAGGACAGAACTGGGGTTACAGATGGTTGTGAACCAGCACGTGGGTGCTGGGAGGCAAGCCTGGGTCCTCGGCCAGAGCAGTCACTGCTCTGGTTTGCTGAGTCAAAACTCTCCAGCTCCAGATTCATACAGCATTTGTTGATCTTATTTCTAGGAATTCAGTAAACGTCTTTAATGATTGAAACATTGGTTTTGTTTGTGCTGCTGGCATGTATGCCTGCCTGCCAGAAGAGGGCGCCAGAGCCCATTACAGATGGTTGTGAGCCACCATTTGGGTGCTGGGAACTGAACTCAGACCTCTGGAAGAGCAGCCAGTGCTCTTAACCTCTGAGCCATCTCTCCAGCCCCCAACAATTTAAAATTTTATTCTCTCTCTCTCTCTCTCTCTCTCTCTCTCTCTCTCTCTCTCTCTCTCTCTCTCTCTCTCTCTCTCTCCCCCTCTCTCCCTCCCTCCCTCTCCCCCCTCTGTCCCCCTCCCCCCTCATCTATCCATCCATCCATCCATCCATCCATCCATCCATCCATCCACCCACCCATCTATGTGTGCATGTGGAGGTCAGAGGGTGACTGGAGGTCCTGGGGATTGAATTTTGGTCTCTAGGCTTGCCTTTAATTATTGAGCCATCTCATAGGCCCTGATTGAATTTCTGAATGATGAGTAAGTTCTTTTTCCTGGAATAGATGCAATTTATCATAATTTATTATTCTTTCCATAAAGAACTGAATTCAAAATATTTTAGATAGTTGAATTTATGGTAATAAGAAACACTGGCCTTTTTTTTTTTTTTTTTTTTTTTTTCCCCCAAGATAGGGTTTCTCTGTGTAGCCCTGGCTATCCTGGAACAGGCTCTGCAGACCAGGTTGGACTCTAACTCAGAGATCTGCCTGCCTCTGGCTCCCAAGTGCTGGAATTAAAAGCATGCACCACCTGGTTTTTCTTCCTTTTTTTTTAAGTTTTTTTTTTTAATTTATTCTTCTTATATCTTGCATCCCAACCACAGTTTCCCCTCCTTCCTCTCCTCCCAGCCCCTCCCCACCACATCCCTCTCCTTCAGACCCACCTCTTTGCCTTCAGTAAAGAGCAGGCCTCCCATGTTTATCAACCACACATGGCTCGTCAAGTTATAATAAAACTAGGCGCATGCCCTCATATCAAGGCTGTATGAGGTCACTCAGTAGAAGGAAACAGGTCCAAGAGCAGGCATAGTCAGAGATAGCCCCCACCCCTAAAAAATATGGAACACCTCACGAATTTGCATGTCATCCTTGTGCGAGGGCCATATTCATCTTCTCTGTATCGTTCCAATTTTAGTATATATGTGCTGCCATAGCAAGCATGTATCTTTCTTTTCTTTTTTTTTTTGGTTTTTCGAGATAAGGTTTCTCTGGGTAGCTTTGCGCCTGTCCTGGAACTCAGTCTGTAGCCCAGGCTGGCCTAGAACTCATAGAAATCCACCTGGGTCTGCCTCCCGAGTGCTGAGATTAAAAGCATGCACCACCACCACCACCACCGCCCGGCTGTATCTATCTTTTCTTATGGTGTCTGTGCTGGCTAGTTTTATGTCAGCTTGACACAAAATAGAGTCATCTGAGAGGTGGGAACCTCAGTTGAAAAAATGCCTCCATAAGATCAGGCTGCAGATAAGCCTGCAGGGTGTTTTCTTACTTAGTGATTGATGTGGGAGGGCCCAGTCCATTGTGGGTGGGGCCACCCCTGAGCAGGTGGTCCTGGGTTCGAGGAAAGCAGATGATGGCGCACGCCTTTAATTCCAGCACTCAAGAGGCAGAGGCAGGTGGTCTCTGAGTTCGAGGCCAGCCTGGTCTACAGAGTGAATTCCAGGACAGCCAGGGCTACACAGAGAAACCCTGTCTCAGAAAAACTAAGAGGGAGAAAGAGAGAGAGAGAGAGAAAGGAAGAAAAGAAAGGAAGAAGGCTGAGCAAACAATGGAGAGCAAGCTAGTAAGTTACACACACACACACACACACACACACACACACACACACACACACACAGCCTCTGCATTAGCTCTTGCCTCCAGGATCCTGACCTGCTTGAGCTCTTGCCCTTCGATGCTTTTGGTGATGAACTGTCATATAAAACTGTGAATGAAATAAACCCTTTCCTCCCCAAGTTGCTTTTGGTCATGGTATTTCATCACAGCAATAGTAGCCCTGACTAAGACAAATGTACTTTGTTGTCGTGTGAAGATTATACAGAGGGCTGGGAATGTAGCTCAAGTAACAGAGGTGTGCCCAACATTCACAGAATGTGCCCTCCATTTGGTCCCCAGCACTGCATAAAACTAGGCCAGGTAGCACACGGGAGGTAGACAAGAGTGTATTGTATGTACACATGAGTGCAGATGCCTACACAGGCTGAAGGATGGCCTCGAACCCTCTGGAACTCAGTTACAGGAGGTTGTGTTGCCTCTTACGGGTGTCAGGAACCAAACTTGGGTCCTCTATAAAACTCTTGTGTTGAGCCATCTCTTAAGTTCCTATTTATTTTTTGAGACAAGTTTTCACATGATATAGCCCAGGCTAGCCTTCAACTTACTATGTAGCCCAGGCTAACCTCTGGCTTTGAATTTATGACTCTCCTGCCTCTCTGCCTGGAGCAGGGATTACACACATGTGCCATCATGCCTGGCGTACACATACTTTTAAAATTTATTGCTTTCCCTGTGCTATACATCTCTTTGAACACTAACAAACACAATTTCACAAGGTCAGAGCATCTGCTGAATGAACTGATTTGATGTGACAGTTCCTTGTGACAGAGCATCAAGATTGTCTCTAGCTTTTCACTGTGGTGAACACACTCTTTCAGGTTATTTCCTTCGTATAGAATCCTAGAAGTACAAGGATGAGTCAAAGCATTTGCACTTTTAAAGATTTTCCAAGGTATTGCCAAACTTCCTTTCGGAAAGCTTACCACGGCATGCCTAGAGCCCTGTGTGCCTCTATGCACAGGGGCCAACCCTGGGTGTCACCCTTCCTTTCTACCTGTGCCAATCTGATAGGTGAGAAAATGCTATTCTATATTGCTTCGATTTGCATTTCTTCCAAGTTGACGGTGTGGTAGGCTGCCAACGGCTCACTCCTAAAGATGACAGGTCCATGGCCTAATCCCTGGAGCCTATGTATGAGGTCAAGGGGGCTTTCAAGATTTGATTCATCTATCAATCTTAGCCTGGCAGATAGGTGATCCTGGGTTAGTGGAGCGGTCCCGAAATGCTATTACGGGGCTCCAGTGTGACTACAGATAACAGAAATTAGCAACATGTGGTCCAAAGTTAGAGTGCCAATGGCCCCAGATGCTAGCAAGAGGTAAGGGATAGACTCTCACTGTAACCCTCAGAGGGAATATGGTTCTATCAATTCATTCATTATTTTCTTTATCTCCCTTCCTCTTCCTCTTCCTTTCCCTTCCCTCTCCTTCCCCGGGGGTTAAACTCAGGACCTCATATGCTAGGCCAGCTCTCTACCATTGAGACCAGACTGGCCTTGAACTCAGAGATCCTCCTGCCTCTGCCTCCCCATGCTGGGATTAAAGATGTGTTTGTTAGTTTGTTTTTAAATACAGGGTCTGCGGGGTCTGGGGAGAACAAGGGAATCCGTGACTGATATGTAAAATTAAATTAAGTTATAAAATAAAAAAAAAATAAAGACAGGATCTCTCTATGCATCCCTGGATGTCCTGGACCTCACTATGTAGACCAGGCTGGCCTCAAACTCTCAGAGATCCACCCACCTCTGCCTTCCCTCCCAGGTTTTGGGATTAAAGGTGCAAGCCACCATACCTAGCTTTAAGTTACGTTTAAAACATTTTAAAATATTCTCATACTGACTTCTAGACTACGTTTAAAATTTATATTGTCACCAGTAGTTCTCTACTATAGACAACTCCAAGTGGCATTACTTCCCTCTTTCCTAGCTGACTGACTGAAGATTGTGTGAATCTAGTCCGCTGGGGATTGAACAAAGGACCTCATGAACGCTAAATACATGCTCAACCACTGAGCTGCGTTGTCTCCATCTTTCATGCTTACTTGTGAGTGAATGAATACATAACGCATGGCCCACATGTAGAAGCTAGAGGACAACTGGAAGGGGGTCTGTTGTCTACTTCCGCCGTATGGGGACGAGAGACATGGAACTTAGGTCATAGGACTTGATGGCAAGGGCCTCACCTGCTGAGCATCTTGTCAGCTCGTAAATGCTCTCTCAAAGGTGTTCTTTACCTATGAAGCTGGTTGGGTAATTGGTTTATTATGCTTGTTGGCTATCAAGGCAGCTTCATGATCAGCTTTGGAAGTTCTGGTTGATAATTTCTCTTTAAAATGAATACAATCAAAATCCCTTTTGAATCCAAGGCAGTGAGTATTGGATTTCACATTTCTTCCCCAGCTCTAGAGAAAGTGATCTTCAGGAGTACCTTACGCAGGACGTGATCAAAAACAGTTTGGGGCCAGGAATGCGCTGGTACACCACAGGAAAGAGGAGGGAAGGCCGCTCAGCTTGTTTCGAAGTTTCCTAAAATTCTCCAGTCTTTCGCTTTATGCATCCCATTGGGTAGAAGGACTGATGGGATCCTGCGCTGAGGAACCGCAGGCGGAGTGGTTGTGCGCAGCGGTCCTGCGAGTCCTCGGCTTTCCCGCAGGGGGCAGTGCCGTCTGCCAGTGAGGTTGGAGCGGAGTGGGAACCCGCGCGGAGTTCTGGGGGTTGTTTGCAAAGAAAGTTAGAAGATGCGTTGGAGTGCGAGCCAGACCCTCGGGCTTTGCGGGAGGGTGAGAGAAGGACCTCCCAGGGTACCCATGGGGTTCAGCGGAGGGGATCTGGATAAGTTTGAGGAGTAGGGCGGTTGCACGAGGAGGGGAGGTACAGTGCCCCGGAAGATGCAAGCGAGCAGGAGTGTGAATGCGAGTGTGCGTGCGCGCGCTGCAGTTCTCCCGGTTCCGCGAGGCGCGGGTGTCAGCTTGCAGCCGGGGCTCCTCCCTCCGGCCCCCCTGCCCCGCCGGGCGGTCCCTCCCTCCTTCCCCATCGCCCCTCCCCGGCGGGCCAGGCGCTGGGACGCCCCGGCCGAGCAGGCGGCTGTGGTGGCGGCGGCTAGTTTGGGAACCCTAGGCTCCGTGCTGCGGGGACGATCGGGAGCCGAGTGTCTTCTGTCCCGGCTGGGCGGTGTTGGGCCCGCTTCCCACGGAGCCACGCCCTGTCAAAACTTTGTCGCTGCAGCGGCCAAACGATCGGAGCCGGGCCAGCGAGCGGGAGGGAGGGGCGCCGGGCCGGGCCAGGCAGGGCGCGGGGCTCCGAGCGCAGCGGCCCCGGCCCGTGGCCCCACCATGCCCCAGCTCGGTGGTGGCCGCGGTGGCGGCGCCGGCGGGGGAGGCGGTGGCTCCGGAGCCGGGGCAGCCAGCGGAGGGGACGACCTCGGAGCGAACGACGAGCTGATCCCCTTCCAGGACGAGGGGGGCGAAGAGCAAGAGCCCAGCAGCGACAGCGCTTCGGCGCAGCGGGACCTGGATGAGGTCAAGTCGTCCCTGGTCAATGAATCGGAGAATCAGAGCAGCAGCTCGGACTCGGAGGTAAAGGGATTCCTAGGGTCAGTCCCATTGGGGGACCCGGGTCCCGCTCCCGCTCACCCGAGGCCCTCGCCTTTGTGTCTGTCTCCTCCACAGGCGGAGAGGCGCCCGCAGCCCGCCCGGGACGCTTTCCAGAAGCCGCGCGACTATTTCGCCGAAGGTACGTGCCTTCTCCTCCAGTCTCCACTCTCCGGCCGGCAGCGATCGCCGCTACGGGTCCCCATGGCCCGGGTGGCGGAGCCCCGGTTCTCCTCCCATCTCTGCAGCGACCACTCTGGGGCTCACTCGAGGGGAACTCGGGTTCCAGATTCCCGCCTGGAGTTCCAGATCGCTGTGCTGTCTGGGGGACCCCTGACCTCACTCCGCTTTGGTTTTTGTCCGCAGTGAGAAGGCCCCAGGACGGCGCTTTCTTTAAGGGACCTGCGTACCCTGGGTACCCCTTCCTGATGATTCCCGACCTGAGCAGCCCGTACCTCTCCAATGGACCCCTGTCTCCTGGTGGAGCGCGCACCGTAAGTGTCAGTCCAGCTGTGCCCGGACCGGTGGGCGCCGGGCCCCCGGCAGGATGAGCCCCCAGGCTCGGCCGTGGTGTGGGGGATGGGGCCTCCTGCGTCGATCCTGGGCAGAACTTGTTTGCGGAGTTAAACTCCCCTGTGGCGGCCTAGTATGAGACTGCACTGGCCAGTGCGGGGATGAAAGTAAAGCTCTTTTAACTTCTCGCCTTTGGGAGCTCCTTCTCGCCTTCAGGAGATCGCGGCCTGGTGGGTCCTCCTCCCAACCTCCCAAATTCCTTGCTTCTTCCAAAGGAAAACTTGGATTTGTGCCTACTTTGGGGGTTGGGGGTGGTGGTCTCGTTTTCCTTCCTGGAGACCAGTCAACTTTCCCTTTGGCAAGGAGGGAAGTTGGGCAAGGGCCTGGAGGAGCCTGGCTTGAGATGTTGCCCCCTGACCTCCGGGTTCTCGGGGCTGCTGTGAGCCGTACAAACTCCTTATTTTGTGTGGTTTATTCACCACTCCTGTCCCCACCCCCAATCCTCACACCAGGGTCTCAGTTTTTCTGCAGAACTCTGGGTTTTAAACTCCTCTGGGATGGTTTGGAGGGCGACCCAAGGCCTTCTTATTTGGCTTTTTCCCCCTTTTGTTGCCGGCTTTTCTCATTTAAAGCGAGCGCTGCGACACTTTAAACCTGTTAATGGGAGCGCATTGTGTGCTGTGTGCCTGGCATTTAGAGCGGTGATTAAGCAAATTGACCCGGCCCCAGACAATGTGCAAATGAGGGCGGATTCCTTCACCCTCTCTAGCTCTGAGCTCCCGCCCCTCTCCCCCGCGGGACGAGGGGTGCAGTTCGGGGCTGGCAAGGCCTTGGAGCCGCTGCTCCACACCCAGGGTTCCTCGGATGGTGGTGGATCTTGAGTGCACACCTTCCTGCCGTGCGGGGTTTGCGCATCATCTCTGCCTGCTACGGAGCTTCCCAGAGTCGGCGAGTTCATTCTCTGTGCTAGGCTCATGTAAAAGTTTATCTTAAATTTGATTACAATCACGGACTGCCGGGGAAGACGTGGGCGCTGAATGGGTCGTTCCTGCTGTCATTTCAGGGCCCTCTGATGGAGCCGTATGGCTTCCATAGTTGGTGCAGTGTGTGTGTGGATTTTCTTAACTGGTTGGGGTTGGGGGAAGTTCTGATGGATGAAGACGGGCGTGGAACCACGTACACACCTCTTGCCTTTGCCGTGGGATGGAGGGAGACTCCCACAGCTTTGGGCCTGCTGCACTTCAGGACACCCCCAAGAAGTCCTTTTGAAAAGTGGGTATTTGACCTAGGCCTTTGCTTTTGCTCGAATTTTCAAGGTGACGGTGTGTGCAAATGTTGGGGGACACCCCTAGCCCCCGTCAATTTTCCCTCCCGTGCCTGCAGGTGCAGGAAGTTCCCATATCTTTGTGTGTGTGAGAGTTAGGCCACGTTAGTCTCATTCTCTGTTTTATCATCAGGAGCCACTAATGGCCAGATGTCAGCTCTGAGCCAGATCTTGAGAAGTTAAAAGTCACAGAAATATCCCATAGAGGACTAATTCTCCTTTGGCTGGAGATTTCCTGCACACACCTATGTCTTTTTTTTTTTTTTTAACGTTTATTTATTTATTTTCTGTGTTGGTATGCCTGTGCACGTGGGTGTTTTTTGAAGCTTATGCCAGGGTACCTGTGTGGAGGTCAGACTTTGGTAGTCAGTTGGATCCTCTCCTTCTGCCTTGTGAGTTCCCATGGTCCGACTCAGGTCATCAGGCTTGGCCAGCCAGTGCCTTTCCCCACAAGCCATCTCTTAGCCCCCCAGCAGGGGGACTTTGATTCCCATCCCCCCCACCCCCCATGCCTGTATCTTATCTCCCTGCTGAGCTGGCCAAACAGCAGAAGCTCAGCTCCCTCCTGTTTTGGTGTTTCTCACGTGCCTCCCTCTCAGCGAAGTCGCTGATGTCCTAGGGAAGTTTCTTTCTAGTTTTACTCAATCCTCGAGCATCGTGGCCAGTGAGCAAAGCAAGTTGAAACACGCTCAAGCAGTTGTTTGGACTGAAATTATTATTCTTGATGATCATATCAGTAGAATTAATATGATTTTCATGGGAGGCAAGTGGTCACCCAGACAGACTCGGACCTCTGCTGGTTTCCAGTGAAAGTAGCTGGTAGATTGGAAGAAGATTCTTGGGTATATGAGTCAGTCCGTCTTCTGCTTTCTAGGTCCTGTTGTTTCGCCTCTAAATTATGCAACTTTAAAGCTTTGCTGTTTTAAGGTCTATAGCTATTAAAATGGGGGATCCCACACCCGAAGTCAAAGTAGAGATTGGCTGCAGTGTTTTCCAGTTATTTATGGACGTAGGCATTGCAGACAGGGCCTAAGCACCTTCATCCACTGGCGTCTTTGCTGCTGGGACAGCGGGAGCTAACCAGTCTTGAAGTCAGGCTGTCTTTCTCCATGGACCATCTCTGCTTTCCGATCTGGCTTGGTTGGGATGCTGGGAAACGGTCTAAAAAGGCCAACTTTTGAGACAGGGTCTCGTTATATAGTCCAGGCTGGCCTTGAACCAGGATCCTCCTGTGTTAGTCTCTTGACTGCTAGGTTGACAGATGTGTCACCATAAGTGCGCGTCTCTTTTCCTGGGGAACCTGAGGTTTGTGGAGAAGGGAATAACTGCCCCCATTTTCTACTATTCCTAGTACTTGGAATTGTTATGAGATAATGTCTTACCGTCGAGTCCTGGCTGACCTAGAACTGCTGTATAGACGAGGCTGGCCCTGAACTTGCCGTGATTCTCTTGCTCACATCACAGGCATATGCCACCACACCTGACTGTGTGTGCCTTCAGTGTAGAGGTGACTTTGTGCAGGTTTACGAGACCACGTAGGTGATGTTGACCACAATTTTGCTAAGAAAATGTAAATTAAGCCAAGCATAGTGGTACATGCCAATAATCCTCGCACCTCGAAGACTATGACAGGGGGATCACTGCATGTCTACCTAGTAAGAGCCTGTCTCCACAACAGAAACAAACAAACACTGATGAACAAAATCAAGTGGATGCCAGAAAATAGTGTTGAAGGTAAAGAACGTATTGGATGTGGTCCTCAAGAGAGCGTCATACTGATAGAGTAGTGTGTGGTCACTGTGTGAGTGCTAATAACATCTTAGAAAGGGGAGTGCCTAGGGAGAGGCTCTGAGCACTGTGTATAAATTTAGGAGTCACTGTCCAGAAGCACACATTTTCGTCAGGCTGTTCAGATCACTTCTGGGTCACTGTCCTGGGCTTTAAGTGTGTGCTGACCTGTAAGTACTCCATATTATGCTTCCTGAGGACTGTCTTGCCAACATCCTTGATGTGCCCCCATCCTGTTCCGCCAGACAAACAGAAATCTCTAAACACACACAGCAAGGTTGTTTTGGGGGGATTTATGTAACAACCAAGGAAAACTTTTTCTTTCTTTTTAAAAACAATTCATATACTCTGTTATATTTTATTTATTTATTTTTTTGGGGGGGTTACATATGCCATGTCAGGACAGTGTGGGAGTTAGTTCTCTCCTGTCTCTCCTGTCGAGTGGGTCCTGGGGATCAAACTCAGGTCATTAGGCTTGGTGGCAGGCACCTTACCCACTGAGCCACCTGACCAGCCTAACCCCTACCCCCCACCTTTTTTTTTGCAGATCAGTCTAAACATGCTGTTTTTGGTAAAATTCTTTTAAGTCATTTCATCTAAATATAACTTCTGTTCCATTTTTGCTAAATATAACTCTTGAGTTTAATGAGGGCTTTTCGCATAGAGTGAGCTTTTGGGAGTGCCCTGTCTGTGTTACTGAAATTTTGGCACTTGGATTGCTGGGGTGACATTTGGTTTCAAACTCTGAGGTGGGACGTGAGTCCTGTCAGTCTTTTCTTTGGGTAGGTGGATCTGGCAGGGAATATCTGACTTGCCTTGTGATAATTTTAGAAACCTATGGCTTAACCTTGTTCTCCACTGGTCTCATCCCTAGGGCTTCTCGAGGAAAGGTGGTCGGTCTAGTGTGTAGATACACATGACTATTAGCAGTATTTCATCCTTAACAGTAAACTAACCGAACTGCATTGTTTTGTTGGTTGGTGGTTTGTGTGTGTGTGTGGTTGTTTGGCCTGCATGTGTGTCTGTGCACCATGTGTGTGAAGTGTCCTTGGATCCCCTGGAGCTGGAGTTGCAGATGCTTGTGAGCCGACATGTAGGTGCTGGGAATGGAACCCAGGCCTCTGTAAGAGCAGCCAGTGCCCTTAACCACTAACCCATCTCGACACCCATAGACTTGAAATGTTAACCAATAGAATTGTAGAATGAAAAAAAAAAAAAACCAGCCCACTGGAAACCTTTTGTTTTTTGTTTGTTTTTTGAGGCAGGGTTTCTCTGTGTAACAGTCTGGCTGTGCTAAAACTCACAGTGTAGACCAGGCTGGCCTCGAACTCACAGAGATCCGCCTGGCTCTGCCTCCCGAGTGCTGGGACTAAAGGCATGCACCACCGCCTTTCGTAAAGAGAGGGTTGTACTCATAGTCCTGGTACGAGGCTTTCATTTGCTATACTGAGGGTACTCGAGATTTGCATACTTGCAATTAATTAATCTGTAACTCCTTGACTTCTTTATCTGTTGTGTGTTGAGTGCTTATCCTGGACAGTGCTAAGGGACGGGGGTGGGGGGGGGGGTGGGGGGGGTGGAGGCTGTAAGATAAGATGCATTAGACCAGATCTAAGATTCAAAACTTGAGTTAGGAAACAGTAGCATTGGCACTTTACAAGGATACAAGGAAGTTTATGTTAAGAGGCAATTACATCTGTGGGGGTGTTTTTTAGAATAAGAAATTTGGAAAAATCGCTTTGAATTAAGATGTTTCAAGGAAGGCCAGTGGCAGAGGTAACTTTAAACTAGCCCTTGGAAGTCACTCTTTGTTGGTGTTGTGGGCGGGGTGGGGGTGGGGGGGTGGGGGGAGCAGTGTCTTGGTGTGTA